GGCATACGATTGCCTGATAGCACTCCGCTCCGCATTTGTTGCCTCAGGTTTGTTGCGCAGTTCTGAGACGATCCCATATAATTGGTTTACGGCGGCAAATAACAGAGAGGCCTGTTCTCTGATCTGGAGCCGTTCCTCTGAACTGAAGCCTTTGTTCCTCCCCTTCTTTACCGTGTCAGTGGTGTTTTCCGGACACAAGTCCAATATTCTCCCCAGCTGCATAGCAGCAGACTTGATAATGGAGTCTTCGAAATTAGTTAAATGTTGTTGACTAGGCTCTCCTGAGCTCTCCATGGGTGCCTCATAAAGTAAATAGACAGTAGACTATGCACCTTCAATAAATTAAAAATTAATAAACAAATAACGGGTTGCTGAATGTTGCGATAACAAAAACCCTTTAAAGCCACCTGTTTGCCTCCAAGCAAAGGAACTGTGGTGACAAAAACTTGTATATAGCAGCGAGTGACACTGAACAAAGGAGCTTCCTGGAATGTTCTGACTGTCTCGAGCCAAGCAACAAGCACGTGGACCAGACAATGCCCTTTGTTTAAAATGAAAAACTTCCTAGTCCTGTAAAGTTTTTACAAGTTGAACCAAATTTGACTGACGAAAGCAGGGTCTTAATCGGTCGTAAAAGCGATTAATAATTAATAAGTAACGGCAGGAGAGACACTTCTCGTTAAAATTACAAAAGCGGTCCACTTACACTGTAGAAATGCGGAAAGTAGATCTGGAAGTCCACAGGGTTTCGATGTCCGTATTTCTGCGGAAAGCCAGAATAACCAAAAAACAGTGATACTAGTGTGAGCAGCACGTCTTCCCAAGTCCAGTGATATATAATTCACGCACTAAAGACCGAGAAATCCACCGATAACTTCGCAAAAACGAGAGCACAGCAAAACGTGACCTCCGACTTCCATCGACTCCGCTCTCCCACCTTCGTAGTTCATCGTTAATGAGGAGGCGATGCGTTTGAAGTGTATCTTCCTTTTCAATATCTTTCGTGACATAAATGCCATATCATCGTATCTGGTTAATGCGGAGAGGCGTAAGAGCCTTCTCTACATCAACACGAAGCAGTTTACCCGAAGATAGATGAATGAAGAGTACATTGAACGGCGTAAGTTTAAAGTTAAGTGGAAACAAAATGCTACCAGTTTTCTTCGTTATAGAAGAACTTTGATAAGAGTTTAATTAAATATCCGAAATTTTTTCTTTTATTAAAGGTTCATTAAAAGGTGTTTTACTTAGAAATTGTGTGATTCGCTTCCTCGGTATAACAACTCCTAGTTTACACGAATGCCAAAAGTTATCGAAGACGTAAGCACTTATTTAATCTTATTATATCTTCTATAGTTTACACTCATCAAAGGAAAGGCAGATATATTCCTTATATTTATATTTATATAAAGATATCCTTATATAGTATATAAAGCAACTATCAGATGAGCCCGACGTTGCTCGGGCAAAAAATAACAACAAACATTAAGATTATTAAATTATTTCGTATTTCCATCTCTTCTATTATATTATATTATAGTACTTGATTTATATTTACATAGGACAAAGGTTATCTTACGTAAGGATTTATCACGCCGAGTGACCAATCTAACATATTTTAAGAATTCTTTAAATTGCGTACAGTAGGGGAGTGAAGAATTTTAAGATACGCTTTTCCATCCCCTTGTCATAGAATGTTGCCACTAACGACTCGAGATGGACCCTAACGTTTTTTTTTGAAGATCGTCATTAGCCTCGAACCTCTATCTTCTTAGCCACTTTTCCTGTTCGGGAAAGAGATTGAAGTCGCTCGGCGCTAAATCGGGCTATACGCTGGGTGTTTAAAGGTGACGAAAACTTCCACCCACCTTAAAACTTTTTAATGTGTGAAGACTTCCATCTCTTTCCCGAACTGAAAACGTGGCTAGCGAAGCAGAAGTTTGAGACTAATGAACTAATGACGATCTTCAAAACAACGTTGTTAAAGCCATCTCAATTCGCTGGTGGCAACGTTCTATAACAAGGAGATGGAAAAGCTCGTCCACAGATATGACATATTTCTCAATCTTCACAGTGATTATGTCGAAAAGTAACCACGTTTGTACCTAACTTTTGGTAATAAATTCATTGTGTTATTTATAATTGTCTTTGTTTTATGGACCATCGGAGCTTGAAAAAAAAAACAGCCCTCGTATAATAAACTATAAGAGTATAATGCACAGAGCTGGTTAAATAAAATATAAACCAATATTTTTACTCGAATATCATTAACAACACGGGCTCGAAACTGTTTAGTCAAGAACGCGATCCGAATGCGCGACATCGAACCTTACGGAAAATCATAATTCGATTTACGACGGTTAATCGAAAACCGATCGGCCTACCAGTGTTTCGGGGATTAAGCTATCGAACACCGGCGGTGGATTGGCTGCGGCCAACGAGCTAGGCAGGTAGAGATTTTCGGGTTTTCTTTACGTTCGTAGCGCCTAAATAGGGACCTGACCGCCCACGTGTCGCGTCGTCGTATTCGAATAAATCAATTACGATCCCATTACGTCATAAAAGCGGCAAGCTATCGCTTAAATATTATAATAAAAAATATCTGCTTATTAAGTTTTTAAACACGTTTATTACGTTAGGTCAAACACTCGAAGTTTGACACTACAAGCGCATTTAGCAATTAGAATAAAATTAATAAAAAGACAAAAATTGCTGAAATTTTTGTTAATAATTTTATTCTGGTCGTGTTATATATTTATCACGTTTTAATTTTTGATTTGAGAGAAATTCCGATTATACTCTACTAATTTTGAATATCGTGTAAGATCCGATATCTATGAATATAAAAAATTAATTAAAACTTAAAAATTTATATTTATAACTTTAAACACCAGGTGGTAGATATTTTATTTTGTTTATAGTTGCCATAGTAACCGTGAAAATGACAATTTTAAATATGGCGTTAAGTTACGGGTTAATATTTAGTTTTTTTTTTAACGATTTAGCAATGTTTTTGAGTTAAAAGAAGCGAACGTTTGATAGATTTAACTTAAAATTCAGAGAATATATTGATTTTTCTACTCGAAGTTCAATAATGTGTTACGTCGAACAAATTGCAGGAAATATCAAGTTATTAGGTCAGTTTAAACTCTGTTTTTCCCTTTTATTTAGTTATTAACTCCAATAAAACTCAACATTTCCAGCAAAATACTCAAAAGTGCCCGTATTAAATTATATAAGATAATTGTACGGTTTTCGTTTAAGCAGCGACGAACGAGTCCCTAAAACACTTATAAATTATTAAATTGTACAGTTACGTCATAGGAAATGGAGAAATACAATGCGACAGAATCCTAAACACCAGCGCGAGCCTAAAAATCACGTGATTTACAGATGACGATGAATATTAGACGACTCTCGGCTATCAAATATTGGTAGCAAATATTGGTGGGAGGATCCTCTGGCAGGCATTGGTTGGCGTTATTTAGGAGGGCGATGTAGTCGGGTACAATCTAACCGTAGGATTAAATTTTCAAATTATATCGGTACGATCCTTTAAACGTATAAAATTTGTAGAGAAGAAAATGCTGTCATTCACAGAGTCTATGGAAAATTAACTTGGCGAATCAATTTATTCTTATTTTAGTGATTTGTTCTTATATTTCAATTTATTAACGCGTGTGTAAATGACGAATAAACTGTGAAATCGACGAGGAAGATGACTTATCATCTATCGATGTGAAGAATATTAAAATTTGACAGATATAACAAAGTGTATTATTCTTCGAGTTGATATACGATGATTGATCTTCGTCGCTGTAAGGAATTGAGAAGATAAAAGTTTTGTTATTACCAGAAATTTAGAGATTGAAATTTGTAAATTTTACCACTTAAGTATAAATTAATCTTTAAGTCCCTCCCCCCTGGAGATACGCCGCGCGCACCCCTTCCACCTTTAACCATAAAATTTAACAGCGTCGATGCCCACAAATTCATTAATAAATGTTTTTTATCCTAAAACACGAAGATTAACGAGAAAATTTTAAAGTAAACTTCATTGATAATTGATGTTTATGAATTACTTATTTTTTCTCTTATACAGGGAAGGTAAATGTCACCTGTAAACATATGTTCCTATATCTGTTATTGATTTCTTCTACAACATTTTTCTTCTATTTATATTATCGATCCAACGTTTTCTTTAACTATTCGTTTGTAAATCAAATTATGCCTAATCCCGGATTTCTAATTCATTCTAAAGAATGTCAAATACCGGACGTAAGTCCTTACGATGCGACGATTAAGCATTTAGTTAAAGTTTATGAAAAATTAAGATGCTCGACGCGAGATCGACTTTCCACCTACACCCAAGGAAATGTATTAATGCTGGATAAAGATAATGAAATTGTCTCGGAGAATATTTCGTGTTGCTACAGACCCTTCTATCGTCCTCTTATAGCGAAGAATGATAACGAAATAAGGTACATTAACCCTCTAATTATTATGTAAGCAAAGATTTCATTTTAAATACATATAAGAGCGTATTGTATTCCATTTTTCAGGTATTATAACACTTGCGTACAGTTCGATACAAGTGCCACTATCCGGGAAGAATTTATAGCCGTAGAGTGTTCGATAGGCAAAAAAGTAATTTATAAAAATTTTCACAGTTTTATTCACGACAAACCGAGAGTCGAAACCAGGTGCCAGATGATTAGGAACGTTCTAAAGAAAGAAGACTTTTACAGTGTTATGATCATCGGGATAGACTCTGTGTCGCGTTTAAATATGCACAGACAATTGTCCAAGACTCTGGATTATCTGAAGAAGAAAATGGATGGCATTGAAATGTTTGGTTATAACAAAGTAGGAGAGAACACGTTTCCAAATTTGGTTCCTCTGCTAAGTGGATATCACGAAAAGGAGCTTAGTTTCTGCAAAAAGAATGACAGAGGTGTCATTGACGAGTGTCCATCGCTATGGAAGAAATTTAAGGAGTTTGGTTATAGGTAAGTTCAAGAATAATGATTCTTCAACTTAAGTAAAAAAATAACGAAAAATATTCAACTTACCAAAGTACAAGAAGATTTTCGATGTATTTCTATGCTGAAAGTAAACGTGAGAAATGTAGGCGGGTTGAGAGAGAAATGCGAGACTAAAACTTGAAGCGCGTGTGGCATATTTTTATTAATATATCTTAGATTTTTCCATTTCGTACTATTTTTTCTTTTTTTTAATATACAGATTCGGGTAAAATACAATGTCCCATAAGCAGGCGCCATAAGCAAATACTGTAGCTGTTCGGACGACATGTTCGATGTAAATACAGTCTTGTTGTGCCTAGACATATAGACGGGTGATCCAAGATTGCGAGATGTCAACGGTCATACCTGTGTGATTCTGGCCTTGAAATGGATAAACGAGATGATTTCTTCATAAATCAGGACCTTCAACTGACCCCAAAGGGTAGAAATCCAGCAATGCGAGGGGAATTAAGCGGGAATCCTGTGTTCGTTTGTCCTGCAACGGATGAACATTACAGTTTCCTTTTGGTGCGTGAATTATGGGACACCACACATAATGAGAAATTAAACTATATTTCAATTTTATTAGCAAATTTTAAACGAATTCCTATTTATATTTGTTTTTCTAGAACCTTGTATGCCGAGGACACTCCTCACATTTCTACATTTAATTACGTTAAGCCGGGATTTCGCAAACAGCCCACCGATTATTATTTCCGTCCATTCATTTTGGAAGCGGAGAAACACATCGGATGGAAGAAAAGCGCAAATTGTCATCAATGTGTTGGTTCCATATCGGAAACCGAAGCTGTTCTTTCCTGGTTGGAATCATTCGCCAGACAATTCGAAAATCGTTCTTACTTTTCCTTTGCCTGGATCAACAGTTTGACTCACGACTTCCTCAATTACGGCTCTTATGGCGACAGTTATTACGAAGAATTTTTCCAAAGGTTACACCAATCGGAAAAGCTGAAGAACACGGTGGTTATCTTTATGAGCGATCACGGCATGCGATGGGGTTCTATCAGGAAAACATACATTGGTAGATTGGAAGAAAGGTTGCCCATCCTCCTGATATCCTTCCCTCCTAGTTTTCGATTAAAATATCCAAAATTGGTGGAAAACGTCAGGATTAACGCTTACAGATTAACGACACCCTTCGATTTATTTGCGACGTTAAATAATTTATTAAATGCCAACGAAAGTTCCTTAGATGCAAAATACTGGTCCGTGCCTTCAAGAATAGTGTCTAAGTATGTACAAAGAGCTCACTCGTTATTCACTCCCATCTCAAAGAATCGTAGTTGCATCGAAGCGTCCATTCAAGAACATTTATGCACTTGTCAGCAATCGAGAAAAATATCCGTCGATGATAAAGAAGTGGTAGATGTAGCGGATTATTTGTTGACGACGATAAACTATAATTTGAGGGATTACTCCGATTGCGCTAGATTAGTAAGGGACGAAATTGTAAGCGCTCGAATCCGTGCTCCTACCAAATATTTGAGAGCCACCAAGGAATATGACATATTTGATTACTTAGTGGCGTTTAAGACCGTACCAGGAAACGGACTGTTCGAAGCAACTGTGAGATTCGTACCTAAAAATCACACTCACGTTCTTCTGGGTGATATATCACGTGTGAATATGTACAATAATCAATCATCCTGTGTCCAGGATGCTAACATTAGAAAATATTGTTACTGTGAGTAAATTAACACAAAATTACTAAAGGGGGATCGTATGTGTATCTGAATTGATACCTTTACTGTTACTCGACTCATTAAAAGACTACCTTTTTATCTAAGAAACTATTTACATAAACGTGCACCGTGTTACGTTTCTGTTATCTGCTTGTTAAAGCTCTAAGACTTTTATGAAATTTACGGCGTATTCTATATTTTTCTGAATACCTGTACCGTTGGAAAATGTATAAAATTCCCCATAAAAGTATAATTATTCTGTTGTTATCTTTAAGAAAATTTACAGTTTTTGCCACTAATAATAATACAATATTATTGATTTACTTTTGTTATCAATATTGTCTGGCGTGGTTTGATGGGGACGAGGGCGATCTACCAAAAAGAGGTATATGGGAAAACAAGCCTCTATTTAGGTCAGGGGTGTCCAATCCGCGGGCCGCGGGCCGCATGCGGCCCAAGGCAAGTTCCAATGCGGCCCAATAAACGTGTAAACAAAACCGAAAAATGTTTTAATTATTTTATTATTTATTTATTTCAAGGTCATAAACTCAAAAAAGAAGTTTCACAAAGCCGTAAACCTTTATTAATATTTTATTTTTGAGTGGAAAGGAAATATTTTCAAATACTTTGAGATGTGTGAATGAGGAAGGATTACTAAATAAAGCTGGAGTTGTGACTCAAAGGATTATAGACCCAAATTTGGGAAAAGGAGGGAAAGATGAGAAAAGACAAAAGATGTAGTAGTGAGAAACGTTAAATAGATCTTCTGTTAA